TCCAGGCCCTCTCCGGCGCCGCCCTGGTGCAGACCCTGGCCCTGAAGGGCGAGGCCGGGGGCGCAGAGCCTGCCGGCGCCGACGCTGGCAAGGAAACGAGCGCCGCCTCCTCGGGCACGAGCGCCCCGGCCCTGCTCTGCCCCTGGCCGTTGGCGGACGGCTCCTGCCTGGTCGCGCGCGCCGGCGGACGGCTGGTGCGCCTGTCCCAGCGCCCCGCGCTGGCGCAGGCCGCGGCGCTGCTGGAGCTGGGCGAGTATGAGGAGTGCCTGGCCGTGGCGGCCGCCGCCCCAGCAGCGGACCTGGAGGCACGGCGGCGGCTGGAGGATGTCGCGCACCTGCGCTACGCGGCCGTGCTGTTCCGGGCGGGGGAGTTCGAGGGGAGCATGCTGCACTTTGGCGCCAGCGGCGCCGCAAGCACGCTGGCCCTCCTCCGCCTCCTCCCCTCGCTGGCCAGCCCCGGCCACCTGGAGGCCCTGGCCGCGCAGGGGGGGGGGGGGCGGGGGGGCGCCGGGGGGGGGGGGGGGGGGGGGGGGGGGGGGGGGGGGGGGGGGGGGGGGGGGGGGGGGGGGGGGGGGGGGGGGGGGGGGGGGGGGGGGGGGGGGGGGGGGGGGGGGGGGGGGGGGGGGGGGGGGGGGGGGGGGGGGGGGGGGGGGGGGGGGGGGGGGGGGGGGGGGGGGGGGGGGGGGGGGGGGGGGGGGGGGGGGGGGGGGGGGGGGGGGGGGGGGGGGGGGGGGGGGGGGGGGGGGGGGGGGGGGGGGGGGGGGGGGGGGGGGGGGGGGGGGGGGGGGGGGGGGGGGGGGGGGGGGGGGGGGGGGGGGGGGGGGGGGGGGGGGGGGGGGGGGGGGGGGGGGGGGGGGGGGGGGTGGGGGAGTGGAATGCGCAGCTGGCAGCTTGTGGTTACACGGGAGTGGGGAGGCTGAGCTGCCTTCGTTCCAGTGCCAGGCGCAATCACTGAAAGGACCATGACAGCCACATGGGGCCTGTGCTCTGGGTGCGCTGGCTGCCTGTCTGGTCATCTGCCATCTTGTTGAGGAGTCGAGGACCCCGCTGTGCCCCAAGCCATGTGCACAGTCACCCATACCTCAACAATTGCTGCACCGGCCCCCCTTCCTTACCTCCCACACATGCTCCCCAGACGCGTCCCCGGCGGCGGAGCCCCAAGGCGAGGAGTTTGCGCGTGCCGTGGCGGTGGTGCTGCCGCACCTGCTGAGCCAGCGCAACCGCGAGGCTGGCGCCTCGCCCGGCGGCGTGCCCAGCCCCGCCGCCGTCGCGGTCGACACGGCCGTGCTCCGGGCGCTGCTGGCCCTGCCCGACAGCGGCGCGCTCCTGCACTTCATCCAGCGGCCCAACCATGTGGACCTGGAGGAAGGGCGAGCCGCCCTGCGCGCTGCCGGACGCTACTCCGAGCTCGTCGCGCTCTACCAGGTGTGTGTTGGGGGGGTTGCCTGGTGAGGACCGCGGTGTTGGGGGGCATAGCTGGCGTGATCATGGGTTCATGTCGTGCTTTACAGCTCGACAGCAGCCTGGCAGGGGTGCCTGCCGTCAGATTCCTGGTCAATTGAAGGGCATTGCAGGGAGTCGTGCCGTGGACGCATCCCGCCCCGCTCCTCCCCTCCTGCTCGCGCCCTGCCCCGGCACCCACCAACCCCACCCCACACACACACCGTGCCCCCGACAGGGGCGCGGTCGCCACTCCTCTGCGCTGGCCCTTTTAGAGAGCCTGTCGGTGCGCCCAGAGCAGCTGGAGGTGCCCGCTCAGGGCGCCTCGGCCGAGCTGCGCGGCCTGCCGGGGGCGTGGGCGGCCGTGCGCTACCTGCTGGGCTTGGGCGCCGACCAGCTCAGCCTCATCTCCACCCACTCCAGGTGGGTCCCTCCGGATGGTCATGGGCTGGGGGGGTGCCGGCCTTGGTTTGACGAGGAGAATGCCAAGCAGGCGACGGAGTGTTTGGGCTCCGCAGATTTATTTCAAGCAAGCAAGCTTGCATGCATGCTGCCCGGGGCAGGACCATGCCCACCGCGATGGCTCCCACCTCGGGGGGCCTTACAACCCTGCCCTGCTCCGCTCGCCACTCACGCCAGGTGGATCCTGGAGGCCGACCCGGACGCCGGCCTGCAGATGTTCACCAGCCTGCCCGTCGACCCCGGCGCACTCCTGCCCATCCTCAACTCGCACGCCCCCGCCCTCGCCGGTGGGTGGCGGGGCGGTTTGGCCGGCTTTGTTCCTTGCACAGGACGTGCTGATGCGGCGCTGCTGCCACGCCCCTGCCCCATGCCTGCCTTCGCACCCATGCCAAAGCCGCTACCATGCCGTGGCCGCGCCCTTGACTGCCCCGCGCCCTCCCTCCCACCTCCTTGGCAGGTTCCTACCTGGAGGAGGTGCTGGCCAGCGGCAGGGCCGCGCCCGCCGTGTACCAGCAGCAGCTGGCGGCGCTGTACCTTCGCCACGTGGTTCAGCATGCCAGCGAGGACCCCGGCGACCCGGAGGCGCGGGGCCTGGCGGAGACCGCCAAGCTGAAGCAGCTGGTGGGGTGGGGGTGATTCTTGGGTGGGGGAGATGAATAGGGCCGGCAGGCTGGCGTGGAGCCCCGGCACACCTTCTCGTGTGCACCCACTTGAGAAATGTGATGCTGGTCGATACCGAGGCACCTCCTTTCAAGGACCCCTTGCCACCATTGCCCTCTCCTCCACATGACCCCTCCACCAACAACCATGCCTCACCCCAGATCCTGCATGCCAGCCACCTGAGGCTGGACTCCCTCCTGGCCCTCCTGCCCTCGCACCAGCTGCTGGAGCTGCGGGCCGCGATTCTGGAGCGAATGGGCAGGTGGGTGGAGGTGACTGGTTTGGGGTCGCTGCAGGGTACCTTGCGAGGCGGGTGGGAGAATGGCTGCTGCTGCGGCCACGCAGGGTACCCATTGGCGGTCCTGTGATCCGCTCGAGGCGCGGCGCCGCTTGTCAGTGGCGTGGCGCCCAAGGGCCCAGTTCCAGGCCATGCCCCTAGAGCATGTCACTTGAATAACACAAGTAGGGCATGCACCGTCTCGACTGCGTCTTGGGGTCAAGCCACGGCCAATGACCTGATTATCCCGACACAGCTCCTTTTCTCCCCAGAATCTGGCCCCTCTTGTCCGTTTCCAGACCCTCAATCTGCCCCAGCCCAACCCCTCCGACACCCTTTCCTCCGTTTGGGCTCCCAGGCACCACGAGGCCCTGCGGCTGTACGTCCACCAGCTGGGCCAGCCGGCAGCCGCCGAGGCGTACTGCGACCGCGTGTACGGCCGGCAGGTGGCGGCGGCCGCGGCGGCGCGGCGCAAGCCGAGCGGCGGCGCCCCCCCGGAGCCAGCCTCGCACATCGAGGCGCTGCACCTGCCCATGCTGCGGCTGTGGCTGGACCGGACCGGGCAGCGCCAGGACGGGTGGAGTGACCCCCAGCCCTCCGACATCTACCTCCTCCTCATCCAGGTGCTCCTGGAGGCGAGACACGGGGCGGGGGACGGCGACGGCGGCGACGGCGACGGCGGGAGCGGGACCGCCGCCCCCGCCCAGGGCCAGGCCCCTGCGACGGGCGCCGTGTCGCTGGAGCGGTGGGCGGAGGTGGCAGAGCTGCTGGGCCGCAAGCGGGGCGCCATCCAACCCGTGCACGCGCTGGAGCTGCTGCCGCGGGAGCTGCCGCTGCGCGCCGGGCTGCGCTTCCTGCGCAGCGCGCTGTGGGGCGCGCAGGAGGAGCGGCGGGGCGCCGCCGTGCGGCGCAGCCTGCGCCAGGCTGAGGCCGTGGGCCTGGCCGCGCAGCTGGCGGGGGCGCACAAGAGGTGTTATGGGGGGGGGTGTGGAGGGTAGGAAGGGGGGAGCCGGGTGCGGTGCAGTGGAATGTGGACGGGGGTGGGGGGTGGGAGGGCTGCAGGGGAGGTACTTCCTCCCAAATCCTGGTCGCTGTACATCATGTCTGCCTTCTGTGCGTGACCTTGACGAACCACCCTTATTTCCTGAGACAAGGTTCCCACTCCCCACTTTCTAAAGCAAACCACCCACCATGCCCTTTCCCCCCACCTCTCATCAACCCTGTCAGGTTGATCGCGCTGGTCCCAGAGCGCCTGTGTACGCTGTGCTACAAGCGCGTGGGGCTCAGCGCCTTTGTGGCCTTCCCAGATGGGCGGCTGGCCCATTACTCGTGCTTCAAACGGCACGACGGCAGGGGCAGCGGGGCGGTGGAGGCACTAAAGGCAGCTGTCCAAGCGGCGTAAAGGACTGTCCAGGTGTAAAGGCAAGTCAGGAAGGCAGCAGTGCTGGGAACTGCGCAGGGATCGTCCTGGACGCCCCCGGCCAAATTCTGCTCAAAACCCCCGCTGGCTGGGGAGGTCCTCGATCGCCAGACCCTCCAGCACAGACTCCAGGCGCGCCTCCTCGGAGCTCATGCCGCTCTTTCTGAACACGAGGAGCGGGGCGTTGCGCACGCCCAGCCCACCGGCGACCGCCGACCGCAGCCTCCCCTTCCTGCGGACGGGGTACAGCGCAGAGGGGCGCTGGATTTGTCTCGCTGCGAGCAGACGGGCCGCGCCTGGTCCTGTCTCTCTAGGAGGACCTGCCACACAGGATTCCGACACATTCCAAAGCCTCACCTGCGTGCGAGTTCTTTGGCTGCCTCCCGCTCGTGCCCTGAATAACTGTCCCAGAGGAGGAACGCCTTGAGGTTGTCTGGAGACGTCCGAACCTGCAGGGAGGGGTGTGCAAGCAAGGAGGAGGTGGGTGTGTTGAAGGGACCTTGACCCTGCTCCCGTCAAGGGCAGTCATGGGGAGCGGCGACAACCCCCCTTGCTCACAAGGGCCCGCCTCTGGCACCAATGCTACGCGCCTCTTCGACGGCAAAGCCATAGCGCTCCACGAGGGACTGCCGCAGCACGGCGTCGTGCATGAGGACGTTGCCCAGGACTCGATGCACCTTGGCCGCAACTGGGGCGGTGGGAGCGAGTGATGGGGATGAACGAGGGCCTGGTGGCATGATGGGCTGTGCCATGCTTGCTGAATGTGGGCACACCACGTCCTAAATCCCCCTTACACTTTTCTTGTCGGGAGCTGGCGGGCCACACGATCTCTGTCGCTGATCTGCATGGGTGGAAAGCCGGTGGGTATGGGTGTAGGGCCCCGTTGGCCGCCAGCAGAGTTGGTACTTGCCTGAACTTGTCCCCTCGTCGATCTCCCGTTCACCTGTGCAGGACGTCGGGCCGCGGCACCGTCCTGATTTCCATTTCCTCTTCGTTCGACGACTCCTCGGCATTATGCACCAACCTCTGGACCACATGCGTGCATGGCTGCAAGTGCCTCACTGCTGCGACGAGCTGGCCAGGAGCGCACCTCAGCATAGAATGTAGGATCGATTCTATGTACAGAGTATTTTATGTGGCGCGAGCATCATCAGCGCATTGTGCATGGCAACGATGATTCGTAGATGTTGATGTGCGGGACTTGGAGCGAGGACTGCTACCGCGCGCGCGGGCACCGTGAGGAGCGTGAGAAGGGACTCTGTCCTCCAGGGAAACAGATACGCAAGGCAGAATGCACAACTTGCAGGCATACGAATCAGGTAGCATCCTTTCAATCCCGATCCCACAGGGATGACACATCTGCCCTTCCGCGTGCCGACTGCGGGTGCAGGCTGGTGTGGTGCGGATGCGTGACATGGTGCCAGCGCCCAACCGCGCTGTGCATGTCGACAAGCCAGTGCGTCAGATGCCGTCCATGCCAAAGCCGTGCCTGAGCCCCTCCAGCGTGACGAAGATGACGGTGGTCATGGGGCCCTGCCGCGCCCAGTTGGCCGTCCACCTGGCATGATGTTTTTTGGGGGGGGGCAGTGTGGGTACGCATACATTCAACAACACACATCCCCTTCCCGCCGTATCACGCCCCGGCATGGCCCGGCGCTGGTGCTGAGAACACCCTGGCAACCCACCAGATCACCACTACCTTCCCCCACAAACACCCACACACGCCACCCCTCCCTTTCCCCCCAACCTTTTCTCACCCTCTGAAAAGCCCCCGCAAGCCGTGTCGCTCCACGACCCCCTTGGCGCAGGCCCAGGGTCGCATGCGCTCGCCCACAAACATGCTTGTCTTGACCATGTCCACCGGGGAGATGAGCGTCGTGGTGACCAGGCCAGTGACGCCGCTGACCGCAAAGTGGGTGCCCAACGTGTCCTCCCACCCCAGGTCGCGAGTGAAGAGGAGCTTCACCTCATCGTACGTCGCGCACTGCCCCGCCGTGAGCAGCGCCGCTCGGGCCTGGCAGTTTGGATGGAGGGGGTGGGGAGTGAGAGCAGGGTGAGCCAGTGCTGGGGAGCAGATTCGCTAGCAGCAAGGCATCTAGGAGGTAAGCACGGCTGAAGCTCCCCTCATCCGACGACTCACCATGCTGGGGGTGGTACCTCGCCACAGGCCCGCCCAGCCCTCGGCGGCCACCACGCAGCGCACGACCTGCGCCACGCCCTGGCGCGCCCCCGCCGTCTGCATGCGGGTTTTCACCAGGTCCGTGGGGTTGCACGCAGCGGCGGCCACCGCCCCGCTCAGCATGCCGGCCGCGATCTTGCGGTGCACGCCGGTGCCGGGCTCATCCGCGCCCAGCGCCGTCTTCACCGGGGAGTACAGCCCGATGCGCAGGCCTGGGGGGTGGGGGGTGAGGGGAGGGTTTGTGAACGGTCGGAGGAGGGGGAAGCAGGCATGCGGGAGCGTCGACTGGCAGCCTTCGCGCCCGGCAAAGCATGCAGCAACCAGCCGGCAGGGCCCCGCCGCAGGCAACCCCTCCCATCAGGCACTCAGCGCACCGCCGTAAAGGACGCCCCGGGCTACGGCGGCGGTGCAGCCGCGATACAGGGACAGCACGCCCTCGTGCCGCACGACGTTGAACCCCGTCGCCAGGAAGTTCCGGTTGTTGTACCCCGACGTCTGCTGCCGCACCTTGATGACGTCTGCACGGAGGGAGGGGTAGGGAAGAGGAGGGTTCGTCGAGCATATATTGTGACTGGGCGCCCCCCCGAAGCACAGCGGTGATCTCCAGCTACAGCCAGCCAGGCCCTGCAATCCCAGGACTCAGGCACACACGCCCGCTCACCGACCCAGTTGGTGAGCACGACACCTGTCGCCACGCTGGCCCCGCTCAGGGCAAACCCCATTGTGGACGGGTGCTGCCGCGCCCAGACCCTCACGCCCTCCATCCTCGCCGCGCCTGGCAGGCCACACACCAGGAGCGCCCCGACAGAGGGTCCGCTGTCACTGAGGCATGCACGCCACTACATTCTCGCAATCGTGCGCAGTGTAGAAAGTAACCTGATTGTCTACGGGTGATCCCATCCCCATGAGGAGGGACACTGTCCATCTCGTATGTCTTGTCTCTCCCTCGGTTTCTATTCATGACGACATGGCGCCCTGTGATCGATGTCCACGTTTCACCGTGTTGATTGGTGACAAGGTGGGATTCTGATCCAGCCCTGACAACCAATCAATTCAAGCTTTGATTTGGGGATATAGTCGATTCCTCCCTGCTCCCCTCGCAGCTCTCGGGGATCACCCTTCCCGGGCGGGACCACAGGCACGGGTCCCTCCCCCGGAAGTGGAGATCGGAGGCCGTTTACGGCCCAGTGGTGCGCAAAGTGGCATGATGAGCATAGCACACCAGGCCACCGGCGTTTCGCAGCCCGACATCCCACTCTTCCATGCCGGTCCTCCTGGGTGCTGGGACAGTCTGCGAGGTTGCCTGTGCTGCTGCTGGTCCTCCAGACACCCAAACGATGGATTGTGAGTGGGTAAAGGGTAAATGTGGAGGCGTAGAGGTTGCAGCATGAGCGCCCCGTGTCGACCTCGACACCTGTTCCCCCCTTCCCCCTTTGCAGTGGGACACCAAGGTCAATCTCCGCCCAGAATCTGCTTGACCCCCGTGCCACCCTTTCCTCGCCTCAAGAGGCCCACCACGATGTCGCTGCCTCCCCATCCACCTGGGCCCCCTCCCAGCAGCACCTCGACACCAAGGTTGGTGATTGCAAGGTTGTGCCTGTGGTCCTCGGGATGCCAGCCCCATGCTGAATGCTGTGTTGGCATCACCAGGCACCATCAACCTCAGACGATCGATCCCACTGCCATGCAGACCACGCAGGCCCGCGAACAGCTGCTGTCGCCGCTGAGGAAAATGAGGAACGCCTCTGTATCCTCCATGCAATCTGATGCAGATCCCAAGCATGCCAAGTCCGATTCCAGTGAGCATGGGATGGTTGGGTCTGGGAAGCTGCATGCTTGCCTAGGCCACTACACGGAAGGTATAGGACATGCAAGGTGCGCTGGCCTGTTGTCTCTGCCTGCCTCAGAAGTGTTCTGCTGCATGGTGATGATAGCTCTTCTTGCTCAGTGCCACCGACTGCATTCCTGCTTTCCCAGAGCTGTCCCTGCTGGACGACGACGACATGTGCCCCACCTGTCTGGAGGGTTACCCAAAGGGTGGGTGGACAGGCAGTTCGTGGTTGAAGTGAGGGACAGAAGGAGGGGAAAGGAGACTGTGCGCTGCATTGGAGAATTTGTGGCCTTGTCGCGACAGCTTCAAACTGCATCGCTTGTGGGCGGGAAGCAAAGTGTTTTTCTCTTGGAAAAGGCGATCACTGCTCTTGGAAAATCTCCTCCCCCCTCCCCCCCCCTTTTTTTTGCTTCAGAGAATCCCAAGATCACGCTCAAGTGTGGGCACCACTACCACTTGCAATGCATCTATGCATGGCTGGAACGGAGTCAGACCTGCCCCTTCTGCGGCCGCCAGACGGCGTTCGACGAGATCCTGTAGCACCTGACTGGAGGACCACCATCAGAAGCGGGAGAAGGTGTCAAAGGACATGCGCCGTCCCCGCCCTGCGCAGCGCCATCATGTATGTAGGATTTTGCACGGAAGCATGTAGCCTACACTCCGTTTTCCTCCTGGCTTCCGTCCCATTGTACCATGCACCACTGTTTGCTCATGTCCGCTCTGCCATGCACTGTAACAACACACCAAGCAGCTGGCGAGCCAGGGGAAGCGCGGGCATGGTGCACGCGGGCGAGTGAAAAGAAGAGATGCGCTTGGGTTTGGCTTCGACTGCGTCGGGGGGCGAGCGCCCTGGCGGGGCCAGCCGGCGGGATCGGCATGGGCTGGGCCGCCTCATTCGTCCGGCATGGGCTGGGCAAAGGTCGGCAGCGGCGCTCAGGCCCAGGCGCCAAGCGCCTGGCCCCGATTGGAGGTCACGGGTCGCCAAAGATGGGCCCCGAGGAGAAGGAGCGCGGCGGGCTGCGTGCCTCCCACTCTGCCTCGGGGAGCACCCGGGCCAGCACGATGCTGACGTCATCCTTGGTGCGGTGCTTGAGGGCGTGGGCCAGCACCGCCCGCGCGCCGTCCACCAGATCCCCCCCGGACGCCCTGGGCGTGGTGGAGTGGGGAGTGGGTAGGTGGTGTAGGCACAGGTGCGAGGCTGGTACTGGGGCGCAGGGCATGCCGACGCTCGGCCTCGTCTGTCCATGGATCTTGAGCATGCATGACTTTTGGCCGCCCCTAATCCCCCTGGAAGCCCATGGAAACAATCCCAAGGCCAGCCCCCCCCAAACCCACCTCAATGACTGGCACAGGACGCGCGCGACGGTGGCAAAGTCGGCGACATCCCAGAGCCCGTCGGAGGCGATGAGCAGGAGCCCGCCCTCGGAGGCGGAGCAGGTTACGACGGGACCCACATAGGGCTCAGCGGAGAGACCTGTGGATTCAGGGGAGGAACAGTGGAGTTGAAGTGATGGAGCAGCGGCAGAATCTGGCACTGTGAAGCTGAGTCAATGGGGTTAAAGATTAGGACAGATGGTCGTTCGTGGGGCAAGCATCGCGGTGAGCAGGGGAGCCTGCGCCCATGCCAGGAGGCGGCGAGGGGCGTCGTAATCTCATGGCAGTCCATGCCGTGCAGCAGGCTGGCCTGCAAGGTCTGCATGGTACCCCTGTCCAGCACAGCTCTAGCATGCTGCCCACAGATGCATGGGCCCACCAAACCACCCCTCCACACACACACACACACACACATGGATACCATTCGCCAACTCACCCAAATCTTCGTCTTTCAAAAACTTGTCGCCCAGGCCACGCGACAGGTTGAGGCCGTACAGCCGCCGGCTGTTCTTGCTCAGCTGGATGCCCATGTCAGCGAGGCGCCGCCGCTCCCGCTCGTTGCTCAAGCGGTGGTCCTCCGTCAGCTCCACGACCTCCACCGTCCTGGGGTCGATCCAGAGCGCGGTTGAGTCGCCCACATTCCCAGCCTGGGGGGTGGGCAGGTGGCAGTGGTTGGTGGGCGCAGGCACGTGTGGGAGAAGCGCGCAGGCTTCTGGTCAGCATGCTCGGCCGACCACAGACGGTGAGGGAGGGAGGCACGCGAGGTCAGCAGGGCATCACCCCCTCCCCCTCCACGAGCCAGTTTGCCTGCCCATGCCATGTGGAGCCTCACTGCAAACAAACAACCCCCACTGCCCTCCAGCCACCTGGAGGCAGACGATGCCCTTGCGCGGCGACCAGGCCAGCACGGCCGTGGCGGTGCACCCCTCCTCGGCCCGGATCCGTGCGTCGGTGGCCAGGAAGGCGGGACGCAGGGCCGACACAGCGCCACGCTGCTCCAGCATGTCCGCCTCGCAGGCGGGGAGCCGCACGCCGATCTCCTCCGGGAGTGCCACCGCCGCGGCCTCTGCCGCGCCGCGCCCGCAGTGCCCATCGAAGACGCAGAAGAGGGAGACGGAGGCCTCGCCCAGGCGGCCGGGGTCCGGCAGCGGGCACTGCGCACACGCCACGTCCTTTTCCGTATTGAGGGGGGTGAGGCTGGGTTGCAGAGGAAGTTGCGCAAGCATGGGACCTGATGCAGCCCCGCTACGAGGCAAGGCCGCGGCAGGACAGGCCGGGGCTGCCCGGGCTCGCCGCACGACCCCAGAAAGCCACAACTGGTGGCAGTCCTCCCGCGATGCACGGCGCTGCGGGGCGGGCATTCTCCCAAGCCTCCTTTCAAGGTAATTCTCCAACTCCTACCCTCCCAGATGCCTGGCACCCGTCTCCCTGGCCCTCCACTCCTCCAGTCCCTCCCTCTGAGGAACAAAGTCCCTGCCCACACCCAACCCCCCACCCCCCATGCCCTCCCATCGGCACCCCCCCCTCACCTCCCCCGGCTGCCCCTTCCGCGTGTGCTCCCGCCCCACGCGGCAGAGCACGCAGGCCTCCATCCGCAGCTCGTCGCAGGCGGTGGTGGCCGCCGGCTGGCGCGAGGGTGTGTTGGCGGTGGGCTTGGGCGAGGTCAGCGACCCAAAGCTCATCACACGGTGCTTGGGCATGCTCAGGGACTTGGGCAGCGACCCAACAGGCAGGCTGCCGTGGGTGTCCTTGGGGTTGAGCAGGTCGCGCGGGAAGGTGGACACCTTGATCTTCGTGTAGCTCCCCAGCTGCGTGTGGGTGTTGCTTCTTGATTGTTTGCTTGTTTGCTGTTGAGTGAGTTTCTTGGGGGCACAAGATCATGCAAATCGCTGTAAATCTTAGACTGTCTCCATCGGCCGTCAGCCTCTCAGCCCAAAGCTTGCGCATCAGTGCAGGCAGCTCCTCTGCCTCCACCCCCCCTCCAGCCACACACACACACACCCTCCCTTCAAAACCCGAAGTCCTCCCCCCCTTCCTCAAACCTGCAGGATGTCGTCGGAGCTGAGGCGGTAGTCAGGCCCGCGCTGGCGGGCGCCCACGCTGATGGGCTCGCCGTTGAGCAGCGTGCCGTTGAGGCTGCCCAGGTCTGCGGCCTGCCAGCAGCGGTCCAGGGAGCTCCAGGTGACCGCCAGGTGGCGCCCCGACACCTCCCCGTCGCGCAAGGCCAGCGAGTTGCCGGGCGTGCGCCCCACCGTCACCTCCAGCGTGTCGTCCTCGGTGACGTAGGACGCGTCGCGACACGGCCCCGCCAGCACGTCCAGCTTCAGCGCCAGCACCGCCTCCACGTCCATGGACACGCGGAAGGTTTCCCAGAGCTCCTCGTCGTCCTCCAGCACGCGCGACAGCTGCGCCGCGGAGTGGTTGGAGGCCAGGCGCTCCAGCGAGGCGCGCGGCGGCGGGTGACCCGCGGCCGCGATGGCGGCGGCAGCCGCCGCCGCAGAGGGCGGGAGGTGCGCAGGGACCAGCGCGCCAAAGGGGTCAGGCGGCGGGCGGCCCGCCAGGCGCGCGCCGTGGTGGCGGGGTGAGGCCAGCATGGGCGAGCGGCCGGGGGAGGCCGGCGCCGGGGGGCCGGGGGAGGCGCCGGAGGGGCCCCGCTCCAGCTCAAAGGGGTTGTAGGAGCCGACACTGAGGCGCGGCGTGGGCGGCGGCAGGCCGCCGCCGGCATCGGGTGAGGGAGGGCGCCGCGCCAGCGAGGCCGCTGCGTCGTACAGCCGCGGAGGCGGTGCGGCGACGGCGGTGTCGAAAATGCGCGGTGAGGGGCGTTCGGCCGAGCTCGACCGGGGGCCGCCCGTGGACGAGGGGGACGGGCTCCCCGCGGAGCCCGAGAGGGCGTGTGGTCGCGGAGTGCCGCCACCAGAGCCGCGGGGGGGCGCCGGGCCGGGGGGGCCGCGCGGCAACGACCCCGGCGCATCGAACACCAGCGCGGAGAAGAGGGGGATGGAGGCCGCGGCGGGGTCGGCGGGCGCGGGCCGGGGGGCGGGCGAGGCGTCGCCCCGGCCGGCGCCGCCGGCGCCGGCCTGCCAGTCGGGCCAGCCCGCCTCCGCCTCGCCCTCCTCCCCTACCTCCAGCGCAAACTGGTCGTCCTCGGAGGGCATGAAGTCGAAGCCCTCGCCGCTGGCGCCAGGGGTCAGCGAGAGCGGCCCGGCGGGGGCGTCCCCCGGCAGTGACAGGCGCAGGCCCGGGAAGGGGGGGGGATGGGGCCCTTCCATCGCGCCTCCCGCCCCCAAGTCCTCACTCCCGGGGCCGCTGCCGGCGTCGGCCGCGTACCCCGACGCCTCCCGCTCCAGGGCCTCGGAGAAGGCGGGGCTGCTGGCGGCAGCGGAGTCGGGTTCGGAGTCCGGGCTCGGCTCCAGCGCCTTGGCGGTGGGGCGCGGTATGGACAGCATGGGCAGGCCCAGGTCTGCTGCGCTGGGCGAGGCCAGCCCAGCAAAGGGTGCCGGGCCGGACACGGGGGAGCGAGGCGGCGAGGCCGCCGCCGCATACGGCGAGGGGGCGAGGCCGCCGTACGCGTCGTCCCCGGCGCCGCCCAGGAAGACGGCGCGGCGGTCGGGCGATAGCGACTGGTCGAAGGGGTCGCGCAACGCCTCGAAGGCCGAGGCCACTCGCTGCGTGCCCGGGGCGGGCGAGGGTGCCTTAACCCCCGCGCCGTCATGCTCCAGAGGCCTTTCTGGAGGCGTCGCCGTCGCCGCAGCGGATGGTGCAAGCGAGTTGCCGGCGGCGACGGCAGCTGCGACAGCTGCGGAGGCCACCGCCGCAGCCAGGAGGCGGGGGTCGTCATCGCCATCGCTGGTCGGCAGATGTGGCAAAGGAAGGCGATCTGCAGCGGCTGGCTCTGGCTTCACGCCCACATCTGCCGACCAGAATTCGCCTGGTTGAGGGGCGAGCACCGGTTGCTCCCTCGGAGCCTTCACCTCTGCAAGGATGGCAGACCCGGATACATGTCCCTCGTCTTTTGGTACGCCGTCATCTCTGGCAGCAGCAGGGGGCCTGCCGGCGTCCTCCGCTCTCACACGCACAGTTGGGGACAGGCCCCCACGCAGTCCTGGCTTGGCCGGCCCCTCATCCTGCATGCATGGTCGGGTACGGGAGCATCTGGGTATATTCCATACGGTAAGCGGCTCAAAAATGCCACCAGTCGACCCTTTGCCCGCACTCACCGACGCCTCAGGGGGTACACGCGAAGCCCTAAAGAAGGAGGAGTAGCCCACACGGACGAGGGCCACCGCCACGCCGATGGAAGCCAGGCCCAACAGCCTCAGCATTCCGTCGGGGCTGTAGCTGCGTCGAGAGGAGGAGCAGGGGTGCATGCCGACGGGTGCGTGCGCGAGGGAGTGCCCTGAATGCTCGGGTCTCGCACAGGACCGTCCCGGCCAGCTACCCACCTCGACATGTCAGCTTTGCGCCCGCATGGCTCAGGATTTGATGACCTGCTCGCTGGCGCAGGCCTTGTTCAGAAGCTCGGGGCGATCCGCGAGCCCGACGGGGAAGGAGGGTTTCGGTCCGACACACGGAGCGCAGGATCCCTCTGAGCACCCAGACGACTGATGGGAAGCGATGAGTGAACGAGCGTGGCCCGATGCGACGCCCTGCGGCCCCCAGTACCGCTCAGCGGGGGGCCGGGGTGTGTGTGTCCGTAATCGAGGGAGATCCCCGCAGCGGGCGGGAGCCACGTCGGAGCTGGACGAATGCTGGGGCCCTCCCGTACGAAAGGTAGCCAGGGTTCTGCGCATGCATGCGCAGTACTGGCCGGATCCATATGCGATTAAGGACTGCGATGGTATCCAGATAGCCCTAGGGTGATTCAGGCTCGAGCCCCATGCCGAAACGCAAGCACGAGCCAGAGGTGGTGCAGCAGGTGGAGGAGGAGCAGCAGGAGGCGGAAGAGGAGGCAGAGGAGGAGAATGGAGCGGGACAAGACTCGGAGAGCGTTGAGTCAGGCAGCAGCTCCGACGACATGGAGGGACCTAGCAGTGCAGAGGAGGAGAGCGAGGATGACAGCGATGGGGAGGCCTTTGACAGCGTCACAGTCGACTTTGACTTTTCGGAGCCACAGGAAGATGACTTTCTGGGTCTCAAGGTCCTCCTCACCAACTACCTGGACGGTGTCACCTACGATGGCTCCGGCCTGGTGGACCTGGTTCTGAAGCATGTGCGCTGTGGAGTTGGGTGTCATGGTATTTTTACTGGCGGGGTTGAGATGTTGGGGGCCGGGGATGAGGATTGAGGGGAGAGCCCCAGAAGCGGGAGGGAGGGCGATACCCTCCTGGGACGGCAAAGATGCGCATGATGGCAATCCGTCATTTCCGATTAACGCTGGCTGACTGTCCCAGTGCGTGATCTCAGCGGTCAGGCATGAGCTTCAGGCCGGGACAGCAACATTTTTACCCCCACCTTTGTGACACCTCGCCCCAGAGCAAGCTGGGCACCGTCATCAAGTGCGAGGATGACGTCCTGGGGGTCACCACTGTCCTTCCTTTGGCTTCTGTCGCCGGGACCAGGTCCCTGTCCGACCTGGGGAAGTTCCTGCTGGCGCGGGTGGGACCCGAGCTCAAGGACAGAGTGCAGCAGGTGCATGGGGTGGAAGGTTGTGGTGAGGTGCTTTGTGAGAGGTGAGGGGTTGGACAGTGGGTGTGAGTGGGTTTTTGGCCTTTGTGGAGCACCCCCCCGCTCCAGCGAGCTTGTGGGTGCCATCGACGACCGTTTGTGAGTCGCAGACTTGTAAACATCTGGCCTCGAATTGGAGATTTGGAGTTCCTCCTCCTTAATTCAAGGCTAGTTCGGGGCGAGTGCTGCATGCACCTTCTTACTTCCCCAAGCCACACCTACCCTGTTCCAGTCGCTCGCTGACAAGGCAATGGGCCTGCTATTAAGCGAACGGCTCATCAACTGCCCGCCGGCAGTGGCACCGCCACTCCAGCAAGCCTTGAGAGAGGACTTGCAGGCCCACCAGGGGAAGGTAAGCACTGGGCGGAGAGAGAGGGGCAGTATTGGGTTGAGCAGTGAGGCCTTGCTGGAGGGGGTGGGGTCGCGGGTGGATGGATCGGCGCCGCCCTCGCCGTCCTGCACTCAATCTCCGCGTATCTTGTGGTCAAACAGCCGAGGATGAAGCATCTTCTACTCCTGGCGAGAGCATTCCGGGACAGCCGGCCGGCAGAGCAGCCTGCGGGGAAGAAGGGAGGGAAAGGCTCATCATCCAGCAAGGTGTGCATGGGAGCTCTTTATGATGAGACGATGTGGAGTTTGGGAAGGGTTGGGAAGCCTTAGCATTGTGTTTTTATGCCCTGGCAACCTGCACTCACATCCCCCATTCACAACCCCTACCACCCCAGGCTGAGCTCATCTTCACGCAGCCCGAGGTAGAGTGCTGCTTCAAGCACGCGGTCTGGACAGCGGAGTTTGCGGCGAGGGAGACGCAGGAGGGCCGCAACAAGTCCTGCCGACCAGTGCGCCTCATCCTCTGCATACCCTGCGCTGCCCTGCACAGGATAGGACAGGACCTGGAGGCTCTGCTTGGCAGCCCTGCAGAGTGAGCTGTGGTGGTACAGGAATGAATGCAAACTACAGATTGGGCTCGAAAAGGGGGGGATTGTCTTTATATTGAGATTACTATGGCTTTCAAGAGCTTGATAGGAGGTGTTGTCGAGAGTGCATTTGGTGAAGGGGTTTGGCGAGGATGCCTGTCACATGTACCAGGTTGTCAGTCATCCCAAGGCACGCCCACGAGGGCATTTCTGGGCAAGGCAATCATTTGGATACCCTTGGCTTTACCAGCAAGCCAGGGGATGGCAGGGTGGCCTCGGGGAGGAGGGGGCTGGGGGGAGGTTTTCATGCAGGGCGAGCATTTGCTCGAGCTAGGGATAGGTTGGACATAGAAGAGAGTGTCGTGATCTCACCCAGTGTCAGGCAGGCGGGCTAGAGACTGCGACAGGACATGACAGCCTTGAGTGCCCCAGGACCATAAGCTGGTGTTGGAAGTAGTGGGCACAGGTGCAATCCAAAGTGTCAAAGCTTGATGGTGGCAAGATTGACCAAAACAGTCCTCAACAAAAGAGAGGCCGATCCACGCAATGATAATGTCCCTGGGTGCATGACCAAAAAGGGCAGGTCATTGGGATGCTAGCACCTACGACATCAAATACTGGTAAAAGCTTCCGTCCATGGGCATCAATGCGTATGGATGCTGCAGCGCCCCATACAGTCACTTTTACTCGAGGTAATCCTTTCCACCCTCCAATAACCATACGAGGAGCAGTTATCAAACCAGTTCCCGAATCCAATAAGGAGGTCATCCTGGATCCGAGTACAGAACTGGTCGCAGATCTCCCCGATGGCGCGCTCTGACATCAGGTGTCGGCAAAGGCGCAGCCTGCAGAAAGGCCTGTCATGGTAGAAGGTCATGAGCTGTTGGAGCAATGGCATGACTGCCACCACATAGGCCTGGAGGCGGTCGATGCCGGCAGTCTTTTTGGTTGGAGGTGTCATCTCCACGGCTTCCACAGTCGTCACCCTGACGGGGCCGTTTGGCTGTCTGAGCTCCCACTCCTGCTTCTGCCAGCCCTTGATGGTCTTGGTCATGGCGGTGTAGAGCGACTGGGATTAGAACGACTTGGTGCTGATCTGATGGCTCTTGTTGGACTTGATGTCCACATAGGTGCTGACACTGGCGCGACCGGGGTCCACGCCAAAGACGTTGTCGTACTGGAAGCCTGGGGCCAGGGCGGCTGTACTGATGATGCTGATTGGTGGGTAGGGGTGGGTGGGGTGGTGATGGTGGTCCGTGGTGGCAATGCAACAATGATGGCTGGTTCATCCTATCACAATGCAAGACACTCGACACCCACATCTCGCACCTTGCTGCTGCCGGATCGCGCTGCACTCTGGTCTCGTCGTTCTGCGTGGCCTCGTCGTGTCCCAGCTCTGCAGCTTCCCGCTGGCGACGGAGCTCCTCCTCCCTGAGCTCCATCTCTTCCAGCGCGGGGAGCTCCAGCATTCGGTCAGGTGGGTCGGTCCTGTCTGCCGCCATGTCTAGGGTCACGGGAGCCACCGCTTGGCTCAGAGTGGCGCTGGCAGCCACGCCGTCTGTCTTGATGACGCCGTTGAAGTCCTACCCGTCACGTCGCAAGTAGGCCAGGTCAACCGACTTTGGCCAGAACAGGTCGTAGATGGGAATCCGGCCACCCTGTCTGTCTGGTCTTCAAAAGGCTTCCCAAGACGGCAGGGACAGGCCAACCTCGAGGAGGCAGAAGCCCGGCCAGGTCCCCTCGATGAGGCGCAGGATGGCCCAAAGTCCAGCCTTGTCCAGCTTGATATGGCGGCACTGGAATCCCCATTTCGTGGGGAGGAGGGTGAAGCGCCACAGCAGCGAGGTGCGGCTCCAGGGCGCCTTCTTGGCGGGCTTGGGGGAGGGAGGCGGCGATGACTTGAATGCTCCGTCGCGTCCCCGCATTGGCAATCAGGAAGTCTCGGGCTCCTCGCCTGGAAGCCCCAGCCTCTCCAGCTCGGCCTCGTTGAAGTTGAGGATAAAACAGAGAATGGGGTAGCAGAGGGAGGAGTGGTCCTCGAAGGCTCCCCACTTGGGTCTGACGGGCATGAGCGCCCGCATCTGCCGGACCCAGGTGGTGACTTCCGTCCGCGGCTCAACAGGTGTGTAGTCCTCGTCCAGCACCCGCTTGGCAATGGCGCATGCATGCTTGCACTGGCGGATGTTGAGCATGTACTGCGCATGCTTGGCCAGGCGCCGGAGGAAGTCTGTCTTGATGTAGTTCTTGGTGCAGGTCTCCATCAGGGCGGCCTCCGCGCCCAGGATATGACACTGGAACTTGGCTTCTGCAGGCTGATACCCTGGAACCGCGCTCTCCCTCCAGCTCCAGTAGACCTGGGCCGTCTCGTACAGGCGCAGCTTGCCCTGATGGAAAGGCTCGTCAACCTCTCGCCCCTTGATCAGCAGGGGTGGTGGAGGCATGCACCTCCAGTTCTTGCCCACAAAGCGGAGGCATAGCCCGCAATTGCCTTCGGTGGGGTCGGCAAGGTAGGGCTCGCACCTCCTCTGGCCAGCGGGTGTCAGCGGTCGCTCCTCCCGGGGCGGAAGTGGAGTGGAGATAATTTGCTCCTCCAGCCCTGCCGCAAAGCTCGCTTCCAGCGCCAGGTGATCCTCCAGCAGGGCCGCAACCCGCCGCTCGCACTGTCGCAGCAGGTGTGCGTCGGCCAGGAGGTAGGCCTCCAGGACGAACTGGCTCACCCTCGCGACGACCATGTCGACGGTGGCGCGAAAGGGGTTGGCATCGTGCGACTTGTAGGTGGGCCTGCCGGGCTTGTTGCCGCGGATGGTGATTAGCATGATCTTGGTGGTGGTGAACTCAAAGTTCTCGTCGTTCTCGTGCTCGGTGATGGTGAAATCGGATTGGGGGGCCATGCTCCGTGGTGTAGGTCGTCGAGGACCATGCTGGAGAGGAGGAAGTGGAGGGGCGGGAGTCCTGCAGAGGATTGAGTGGAGGAAGTGGAGGGGCGGTGTTGTGAGGCAAGAACAAAGGTGAGGGACGAAAAACTGTACTGATATCTGAAGAGAAGAGAGTGGATGTTTATCACAGGATGACCTCACCTCATAAGGTTAAGACGACCCTGGTGTTACTGAGGTGCATGGGCTCGCCACCCAGCAGTAACGCAGTGGGAGGGACCGGCGCAGGGCCACCTGTTTGTTTTTCTGACGGAGTGTACCTGTGAGCTGTTCCCTTTGCAGGGATGCGAGGAGTGAAACATTGGAAGCATGGATGTGCGCGGTGTCAGACTTCATGACGATCAGGGGACAGACCTTGTCGGGAACTTTGACAAGCCTAGCCCTAACCCACCGACCGTGGTCGCATACGCCACATGTGGGGATGCGTCAAATCCCTCCTTCACGCACCTTGGCATTATATGCTCTGGGTATCTTCAAGAGTGCCCTGATCAGGAGCAGGACGGGAGAGCCCGCACCGCAGCGGCAGAGCGTGAGGCCGTCGGGATTGGGTGCCACCGGAGGTGGCACCACATGCCGTGGTTGTCCAGTATACACACTCAAGCAGAGTACCTGTCAAAACTCGCCCGAGTACGTTATTTCCGTGCTGGCCTTGAAGCAGCAAGGCCCCCACCCCTTGGGTATCTGGACTGATCTGGACATTTTGGGGACTATGGTGGACCATCACAAGCTAGGGTTTTTGCCTTGGGGAGGGAGGGGAGCTCTCTTGCGGATCATCAATCTAGACGCAGAACACACTACGAGGGTATGTGTGCGGATTCAATGGGGAGGCTGGGGGGATTGTGATTGCAGCACTCTAGCTTTGGGGCCTAAGCCAGGGCCCCTGGTGTGGTCGAAGTGGCTGCAGACTGATAATATCACAGAGCAGGCCCAGAAGGGTTGCAATTCGATGTTTCAAGGGTCGAACTTGCGAATCTGGCCGTTTGTCATACTGCACGATGGGAGGGACCACTTCCGGAGCAGAACAAAGGCAGCTATGGTCGGGGTCGAACAACAAAATCTAGGAATCGGCGTCCGTGTGGACTGCGAGGGTCATGCAAGGACGTCAAAATGTTGCAAATGCTTGTTTGTCAAAGTGAAAGTGCCGAGAGCGGAAAGGAAGGGGTGATCGAAGGGTCAGGAGCGTTTTTTAAAGAAAAAATGGCTCCAAGGCGGATCGAACGCCTGACCTTGGCATCTTCAGTGCCACGCTCTCCCAACTGAGCTATAGAGCCTCTCTTCGTGATTTCTCGGATTTTCCCAGCGCCTATTACTCACATGTTTGAGTTTCTGCATTAAAAATCAGCCAGCTTACCAATCCCGCCCATCCCAGTTCCACTCTTATCCGAAGTCTCCCGCATCCACCACTTGCAATTCTTACGAGTTTGACCAACCCTGACCAACCGTGGCAATGACCCTGGGCAGTCTTGCAGCTCATCTTGTCGCACCTCCACACAGCAGCACCCCTCCATTTTGGACCTGGAATGCTCTTGAACGCCACAACCTCGCCTCCTCAACCTGCGCTTCCGTTTCACTAGGGGCAATCAAACCCTCACTCTGATCCAAACCTCTAGCCACCCTGGCGATGTGATTTCTAACGACCTCGCCTTGGCCAGTCTGCAGGTGCTGTTATTGCTTGCAGTGTGTCATTATGTCCTCTGCCATTTGTCACTGCTGAGGCTCCTATACTCGCCAGATCAAACAACTCACGCGGTAATGGTGGCCTCTGGCGACGCAGGCACCCGGCTACCTGTCCTTTGCTCAGCATAGTACAGCTCTACCTGCTTCACTCACGATCTCAAGTGTGCACCCCTCCTGCGCATTGTGGGGAGCCGGTTGCCGCTCTGCAGCTCCTTGGAAGCAGGAGAATCCAAGATGCTGAGGGCTGAGGGTCACACGCCGAGCCTGTGAGGCGACAGGCCCTTTATAAGGGCGCAACAATGAATGGCGCCGCTTCCAATTTGATGGATCGAGCCGTGCGCCTGGTGCGCAGGTGCATCCTCTCGTGGATATCTACGGAGCTTACAATTTGCTCCCAGACATGCAGATCGATCAATCGTAGGCAGCTGGACGCAGCAAACCTACTCCATTTATCAAGACAATGTTCAAGGATGCTACTAAGTCCTTGCGAATGGAATTGTTGTAGAGATGGACACGTGACACAGCATGCAAGGGCAAGGTGGGGGGAAGGAATGGTGTACATGGAACAGACCCATGCCTCACTGGTGGCACCGATGATCGAGGCTGGGAGCAGATGCGTAGGTTGTTCCGTCAGCAGACCAAAGGATAAGATTGGCTGGGGTTGAAGTAACGTCCGTCACTTGAAATAAAAAGTCAGTGGGACAATCACCAGGGGCCGGCTGTTCGTCTCCTACACAAAATGCGGTGCTTGTGCCATGTCGGGTGCAGATGACTGATTTCGAGCCATCCACACACGTGAAGTTAGGGTTGGTTGGGGGCGCGTTTGCAGGGAAAGTCTCAGCTGCAGGGCTGGGACTTGGACTGGAGGTTGGGGAAGCAGACTCCTCAGGACTGGGGCTGAGGCTGAGCGGCTCCTCCGGGCTGGGTTTCGGGCGGGGCCACACCTACCCGATAGGAGGCGGCGACACTGCAGGGCTGGGGCTGGAGGAAGGCGACACTGCAGGGCTGGGGCTGGAGGATGGCGACACTGCAGGGCTGGGGCTGGAGGATGGCGACACTGCAGGGCTGGGGCTGGAGAAAGGCGACACTGCAGGGCTGGGGCTGGTGGAAGGCGACCCAGTGGGGCTGGGGCTGGAGGATGGCGACACTGCAGGGCTGGGGCTGGAGAAAGGCGACACTGCAGGGCTGGGGCTGGTGGAAGGCGACCCAGTGGGGCTGGGGCTGGAGGAAGGCGACACTGCAGGGCTGGGGCTGGAGGATGGCGACACTGCAGGGCTGGGGCTGGAGGATGGCGACACTGCAGGGCTGGGGCTGGAGAAAGGCGACACTGCAGGGCTGGGGCTGGTGGAAGGCGACCCAGTGGGGCTGGGGCTGGAGGATGGCGACACTGCAGGGCTGGGGCTGGAGGAAGGCGACACTGCAGGGCTGGGGCTGGTGGAAGGCGACCCAGTGGGGCTGGTGGAAGGCGACCCAGTGGGGCTGGTGGAAGGCGACCCCGAAGGGCTGGTGGACGGCGAGCCTGAAGGACTAGTGGACGGTGAGCTGGCAGGGCTCGGAGAGGGACTAGGGGATGCCACAGGGCTAGGGGACCCTCCTGGACTGGGCACGCCGCCAGGCGAAGCAGGTGTGGCAGTCGAGGTGTTTACAGACGTCCGAGCCAACGTAGGCCCTGAGGCCGAAACTGTTCCGGTGTTGACGTTCCCAGGAGCTCTGGACGTACTCGTACCGGAAGCCTGTGGGTTAAGACAAGAGCCAATGATCCCAGTCCGAGGACCTTATACCGGACTGTCACATCATCACTCCACCATCGCACTGGCCTTCATGAGTAACAAGTCACCTTGGCACCGGATGTGTCTGTAGAAGCTGTGCCAGATGCATCGGCGCTCACAGGTCCAGGCAGGAGCGACTCGGCGAATGCATTGGAGTTAGACGAAGCCACTTTCCCAGGGCCCGTTGCAGTTCCAACGAAGCTACCTGTAGCCCGTGCCGGGCGAGTGCCATCGCTGACCGCCTGCAGAGGAGTGATATGACGTGCAGGGGGTGTTCGTCCTAATAAGGGGCGAGGCGCTCGTGATTTCTCTCACAACACAGTGGCACAGAGCGAAGATAGGATACCGTGCCGGAGTTCCAGGTCAAGTCATCTTCTCCCCGAAACCTACCGATCCACGACCAAATCCGTCGATACTCGATCCGCTTCCACTGCTGGTTGCCGTCAGCCCAGCCTCGGCCCTGGCATTGTTTCCGAAGGCAGAGCTTGAGGCCCTTCCGGATGCAGTATAACCTGGAGCTGTGCTTGCCGATCCTGAACCCTCCACGATGCCATCCGATGCACCGGCCAAGCTGGTGCTTCCCAGTAACTTTCTGCGCCGATTGTTTGGTTGTAGGGTGCGTGAGTCACCTTGGATCTTCGCATCCGCGCAGTCACAAAAGCAGCTCAAGGCTGCATCGGCCGCTTCGTGCTCGATGAAGTATCAATGGAAGAGTCGGAGAGTGAGAAACTTAGACTGCCTCCCTCATGAAGGCGTCTGTCCTGCCACTCACTCACCTAGACAAGCCCGAGATTGCCGTGGCCGGTGCCGCGAAAAGCAGGCATGCCATGATCAGGGCTAGGGAACCATGATGCATCATTATGACAGCCACTGAGTGTCAATGCAGATTACAATGGGCCGAAGGGGGTGTGAAAACAAGGTATGTTCTGCCCTCTTGGAACCTACATGCATGGTACATCACAGCCTGGAGATCCGGCAACCTACGATCTGGGACAATGCGAGACTCCCGCATGGGACTTGCCAAGTCCACCGGAAAGATCAAGAACTCCGAAGGCCAGCCCCCGGACCCGTCGCCGCACGCATGCCGAACCCCAAGGTGGCTTGGACGTCCGTATATGGCGATGGCACAGGTCCAAACCCGATTGGGCCTCTTTGAGGCTAAAGGGTTCCCCATCCGCTGTCTAGACGGTACTAGCTGGTAGTCGGAGTCCGGTTTTAGGGCAGCTTCCACCAGTGCTAGAGATTCCGTGCGCAGCTACGGCGTGGATAGCCTTTTCTCATAATTTGCTTTTCATGCAACCGTACCTCCTTCCAAGGGACTGTGTCGGCGATGAGGATGGTACACCCATGCTAAAGTCGGTGCATGATCACGCAGAAGGTACGCTCGCGACAGCTGCTAGGACCATGTCGGCAGCTTACGAAAGATGCACCTCCTGTCGGATCACGACAACGAGGGTGCGGAGCGGCAAGAGAGCCGCATGGCTTTGTACTACTTGAGATTCTTACTGCTATAAAACTCTTTGTACTACGCACTCGGGATCTGCCTCCGGCACAGGTGGAGGATGATCGCAGTGGAAGGGGTCTCCATGAAACTTCACAATCCTCGTATTGTGCGGGGGCCCGCAAGCTCGAGCGCGAGCTTTGCAAGTGAAGGCAGACGCGGCGAGGTTACGGGGGAGATAAAACCTCAACGTCATCGGCATGCAATATTCAAAACGAGGGGAGGATGTTCGAGGTGCGCAAGATAAAAGTCCAAAGCTTGCGGAGAGGTATCGAAACTTGGTCTGCCTCCTTGTCTTGCTTAGGATAACAAGACCCTTCGTCTTACGCTCTGTAATAACACCCCAAGAGCACATCTAAGTGATACCTTCACGGATCGAAACACGGGAGGCACATGTCAGCCCACCGTATGGGCAGGGGCTCCCTCTCACATGACCAACCCGATCAGACCACAAACCCGTCGCAAGGCATTCCTCCTGCGCGGCTATGGGACTGCCCCAGGACTTCTCGCTCATACTGCGCTCAGCACAACATGGGCACGTCCAGCTTCGTATCTCAGACGTGCTTTCGAGGAAGGTCAGCCGTGCAGTGATGTCTGGAAGTACCCTGAGCAGGAGCACAGTGGGGTGGGTACAACCCGCACCCAGCGAGCGTACCTCTAGTGACAGGAATTTTGTCCACATCAAGCACCAGTGCACCAATTGCCTCGCTCACCTTTTGGAATTCCCACGACTCCTACGCGGCCCCCATCATTCTCGTGGTGTTACAGCGACCCATGCGGGACACGTTTTCGGGCGTCAGGCGGGCACCCAAAGCCTTTCACTGCTGCCAGAGATGGATGTGCAACATGTGCTACGAATGCTTCGGCCTGCACCCAGGTGGCGGACGATTTGAGTCCTCGGAGCACTCTGTGGAGGACAGAGTGCAGCGATGACTGCTCCAAAGAGGTCAGAAAAATGTCCCTGCAGCACATGCTCCACCATGCATCGTTCTTTGGCTGCTTGGTAAGCATTACCTGCAGGTGTAGACCGCTCGAGGTCATGCCTCACAGCGTGCTAATGCGAAGGGCTGCGATGCGCCACTGCAGTGGCAAGAGCGTGCCGCCTTCTGGAATCCCATGAGTGGGACCGCAAGCCTGAATGGCCATGACTTTGTGTCAGGGCTGCTAGGACAGTGCGTTCTTGTGAGACTCCCATTACAGGCAGCTTCGACATGAGATGGCGAATCATCCGACATTCTGCAAGGTCTCGTTGCCCTCCGTAAAGTAGGGCCCCCCACCTAGCCTGGTGCCTCAGCATGAGCGGGGACGGCGTTTACTGAGGAGGGCCATCAGGGAGACGCAGCTCCACCGTTTTGGGTGGAAGGGTTTTGATAGTTACTAAAGGATGAAACCCATTGAAATGTACACACTTGTCTCAACCTAGTCACCCGCCATAAGTCATGCAATCCTTGAGAATCTGGATATAAAAGCCTCTGAGTGACTCTGTAACGGCCTCATGCTAGATAATTTGTGGAACATACTCCTGCTCGACAGAGTTAAGGCCCTCGAGAGTCCTGGAGGCAGGGTGCCCCTGCACGCCGCCTCACCTGCGCGCCCATTACATGCGACAAAGCATTTCACCTATTTCAGTGGTGCACGGTATTCGCCTTCGCCATTGCAACACGGGCGCTCTTGATAACAACTGTTGGTTCCTTCACCCTTGGTGTACTTGCAACATGAGAGTTGTTGCCGTTGGTCTTGCCAGAGAAGCTGACATCCTCATGCAGCACAAACTTACCTTAACAGTATCCATCACCAATCCGACAGGACTCTCCCATCTTCTGGCTATTCTGCCTCACCCCTGACCCCCAACACCTGGATGTTGAAAGGAACTTTTCAGCTTGTGCTCGGGCAGTTAGCTCATAATTCGAGGACAAAGAGGCTGCACACCATCTCCTCCAGGATCCGCTTGCCCCACTCAGTCCGGACATCTGCCTCGCGGTGGCAGGTGGTGCTGAAGTCCAGCTCCGCTTGCAGCAACCCACAGGATTACTCCGGAAGTGCCCTGTGAAGAGTGGGTCCCAATCTCTTACTCGGAAGGTAGGGTGCCCGTGCAGATGGTAGACGCGGTCCAGGAAGATGTCCACGAGTTCACTGGCGCTAAACTCCCTGATAAAAGGCGCGTTGTGCACCATTCACGACCAGCGTTCGATAAAGACCACCATGGGGGTGCAGCCGTTTGGCGTCTGGGACAAGCCACCAATGAGGTCCAGGGTCACAGCTTGTCAAGGACAATCCGTCGTATGCTATGGCCGCAGGAGACCAGCCTTACGGCCTAACTGGGGCTTGTTGCGCTGGCAGGGCATCCCAGGTGCTGACAAAGTCACGGATATTTAAAGATCCCC